GTCAGTTAGCTTCCTCTCCAGCCAGTCAGTCAGTTAGCTTCCTCTCCAGCCAGCCAGTCAGTCAGTTAGCTTCCTCTCCAGCCAGTCAGTCAGTTAGCTTCCTCTCCAGCCAGTCAGTCAGTTAGCTTCCTCTCCAGCCAGTCAGTGGGTGTTTCTCAATGTCGAGTAAAGCTGCTCCAGAGCCACTATTTCAAGCATACTACGTCATCGAGTGCCGCCGAAGTACTGTTCCAAGGTCCAGGATTTTTGGAATTCTACCGAGCCCGGCGTACTTCGTTGCGGGAAATTTCGAGGCTGCACATGTGTAGACTCCGCGGTCTCAAAATCCCCACAATGCTTTGAGCACGGACCAATTTCCAAAATCTTTGGCGGAAAATGTAAGGCGGGGCCTCTCATATGACGCACACCTGCACACTTGCTCGCCTGTTCCACTCTTCGTTTTCCGAATGCCAGGAAGTATTCTTGCCTCGCTTCTGAAGCAAGACGCTCGGAAGACATGTGCTACCAAGCAAGCGTACTCGAGATTGAGAAACACGCAGTCAGTCGGTTAGCTTCCTCTCCAGCCAGTCAGTCAGTTAGCTTCCTCTCCAGCCAGTCAGTCAGTTTCTTATCCAGCCAGCTAGTTAACGTTCTATCGAGACAGTCAGTTAGCTTTCTCTCCAGCCAGCTAGTTAGCTTCTAGCTTCCTCTTTGTATCCATTCACCCAGATGGTTATCTTCTCAGTGGAACAGTTATCGAGACAAGACACCAAGCCTCTCAGCAAGTATGCTCTTGCCAGCAAATGTTAGTCATACTTGTTCCGCATTCAAATAGCAAATTCCTAAAAAGCAGTTTAAACGTTAGAGCATCCACATTGGTGTTTTCAAGTCAGTTTCATAAAGTCAAAGCATTTATATGCACATTATAAAAACTGGTTTTCCCTTCACAAGATAATTGTTCCTGTGCTTTCCAGGAGATAAATACAATCAAATAAAAAAGAACACCATGTACAATTAACAAGGTGTGGTGTTCTTCTTTTCATTGCATATAGGTCTCCATTGTACAGTGGAAACCTGATTGTAGCCGTGCTTATGATCTCCTTCTATACAGAAACAATAAGAAAAAGGCTGAATGTCTTCTTAGTCGTATTGTTTATCAGATAACATCTGGTTGAATCTGTTCTCATTAAACACATTTTCCTTTATGAAGCAACTGAAAAAGAAGATGTTTTAACGTAGCTAGTGGAAAATGATACTTGAGTGTCCATGAATGTTAGGGTGACATCCATTTTAACATGTTCCCATGTCAGTGTGAACATGTCCACATGCAACATGTCCATACGCAGACACCCCATATATTATGAAGTGTGTGCACATCTCCTATCTGCCGTTTGAGTCTAAGCCTAAATCCCTCCAGTTCCTCTAGACTCAGGCCAAACATTGAGTGTGTGGCTGTGTACGTTTACCAATAATAATGTTGAAACAGTCGATATTGTTGAATGACATGCCGATGTAAGCCTGATATTCAGCCTGGGTTGACAGCTTTACCTGCACTTCGTTCACGTTACCTGACTTTTTCATAACGGTACTCCGTTTCTTTTGTTCCTTTTGCCCTCATAGAATGGTGCGGGAAAGAGTCCTAACACCCGGAAATTAGTCAGCATGTTAGCACTCCCGTTTCTCTTGTGATGTAGTTCCATTATAGCTTAACGTTAACTTTATCGTTTTGGCAATTGCACTTATGCTTCAAATATTATAAAAGCAATGTTAATACGTGGAGATTATCTTGCTGAACAAAATGTATCATTAACGTTGTTTGCTCATGATCACCTTTCCTGCAATATTCCAAAATCCAGTAGAAAATCCCATTGCATGTTGTCGAGGGAGCTCTTCTTGCGCTATCTTCCGGGATTGCCTACCAGCCCATGCCATCCCTGCACCACTCTTGATCAGGAGAAAGAGAGCTATTTGTCTGCAGGAATACTTCTGAGCTGTTCTGAAGAGCAGTACAGTTCATGTTTGTCACTTTTGTTAAAGACAGAATGTTGTTTTAAGGTTTTGTCGTGTCAGCTGAGTTTATTGGTGAAGAAAGATGAAATCCTAAAATTCAACCCCATTGACACATTTCTGATGGGTCTTCTGTTTCTCCCACTGGAGGAATTAGTGCATAAATGAAATAAACAGTGTTTATGTGACTTAGTTAGAATATTAGTTTAGAAACCTTTTACACTGCACCCCCAGAACCACCCATGCACTCTGGCCTCACAGCGCCCACCTGCAGCCTGTCACAGTGTGTGTGAATGCAGAGCTAGTGCCCCATCTAAACACTGCTCTGGAGCACATGGCCCTTCACACAGCCAGCCAGTGTTTGTGTTATTAGCAACAGTCAGACGGAGCAGGCCAAACCACATCAGCTGACTGAGAGAGGGAAGCCCCACCAGAAATGTTGGCAGCCACTATGAGAAAACACCCACACACACTTACGCTCATACACACACACGGCCATAGCTCAATAAATGTGATTTAAAGGCATACAGTGTTTCCCAGAGGCACTACTGCTACTGAGTGGAGGAGGGGGGGTTCCAGTGAGAGGGAGGGAGATGAGTATATACAGAGGGAGAGAGATGAAACGCAGGGAGGGAGCTCCAGTTGAAGGGGGAGAGATGAAAGAGCGCTGTCTCTCTGGCTCCCTCTCTACCCTCTTCTTTATAAGTGTTTTCTTTTTTCCTGGTATTCCTGCAGAGCACCTGTTGTTCTGTTCTGCTCTGTTCTGTTCTGTTCTGTTCTGCTCTGCTCTGTTCTGCTCTGCTCTGTTCTGCTCTGTTCTGCTCTGCTCTGTTCTGCTCTGCTCTGTTCTGCTCTGCTCTGTTCTGTTCTGTTCTGCTCTGCTCTGTTCTGCTCTGTTCTGTTCTGCTCTGTTCTGTTCTGATCTGTTCTGCTCTGCTCTGTTCTGTTCTGCTCTGTTCTGATAAATGCACTCTTGAGTTTTAGAGGCCCTTTTCTGCTTTCCCGTTCCCGTCTCCTGTAGTGTGTTCTAAAGGTGTTTGTAAATGGTCTACAAAGACTACATTCTCTGTGTTCCCACTAGAGAGAAACATAACAAGCCAAAAGAAACTGTAAGTCCGCTGATGCTTTTCCATATAAAAAAAGTTTGTTCTCCTGGTCTGATGTTCTCTGTCTCCACAGGCTAACGGTATTAAGATCGGACCCCAGCATCCCACCACCAACTCCACACTGTCCGGTAACCAGGGAGGCCAACAGGCTGGGGGGGGATGCTGCTGAAGCCCCAACACACCTCCTCCTCCTTCAAACCCCCCTCCTCGCCCGCTCTGACTCTCCCTTGCGGTTCTACAGAACTGTCCAGGCTCACTTAACAGTCTGTTAACCTCTCTCTCTATTGCTCCATTCCTTCATCTTACCCCCCCCCTCTCTTTCTCTCTCTGCCATCCTTTGTCCCTCAACCATACCTAAGGGTCTGTGTGCAGCCTGACTTCCTGCAGGTTTAGCCTAAACATGCTAAAGGTTTGCAGTTTTTGGTGGGGTTACAACGGATTTGTGTCTTTTTATTTAAAAAAAGAACATGCTGGAATGTGAAGACTTGTGTTCCAGCAGTTTAATTTGCACACTACTCTTGATTAGCGAGGAAGGTGTTGGGATATTACAGCACCTTGGAATGCTAAAAGAAATCTCCAGAAACGATGAGGCTGAGGGTAGAGATAAAAACATCTGACAGTGTAGAGTAAAGCGCCATGTTGTGTCTATATACACATCTGTACATGTTTTCTGAAGATGACGCAGCACGTTGATAGCAGGACATGTTAGCACATGCTTAGTCAGTGATGGTGCTGTGCAGGATGTGTGTAGGGGCCATATAGGTGCTCCAGTGTGTGAGCTGTAAGAGACATTCAAGAGAAGTCAACCTGTATCTTCTGTCCATAAAAGTGCAAATGATCATCTTATTTTGTGTTTCCTTTCCTGGTTCTTCTGTCAATTTTGTTGACTTGCTTTGTATTTAATGAACACTACAAACTGGTTGTGGCTTAAAAAAGTGTTTAAATTTGTCTGGAGAGAGAATAAAAGACCAAACTGTTGAGTGTGACAATGGATCCTTGTAGGAACTACGGAAAGGAAAGCAGAAAGGTTAAAGAAACGTTAAGGGGCACTGAAAGCAGCGGCCGCCATTATGAAGTAAAAGAGGATAGTAGATTGGAATTTTTTTGGTAACTATATTTATCGGGCACATTATTGTGTATATATGGCTATTTAGTTTTCTGTAGATTTTCTGGCTGTTTGAGGTGAAGCTTGGCGTGTCGTTGTGTCTAGTTGTTTCTTTACCAGGGCTGGAAAAAAAGACCTTGAAGCAGTTTTTTAAACATTTTTAACAACTCTCATTTAAACCCAAAGGTGCCACACCGCCCTGAAACGTTAGGGTTGCTGGTGCCCTTTCTTTTGAATGACAAGTGAGTGTTAAGAGGCTATTAACGGGCCTGTAGAGGCATTCAGTCCCTGGTGGAGAACAGACTCCAACTGAAAATGTCATGTGTCTCCTTTTAAAGCAGGCAGAGATTTCCACCATGAATTAGCTGGTAGATATATCATGTATACTGTTTAGAGCTTGGTCGATGGCTGCTGCAATGGTTTTTTTTGCTTCGAGATCCTCGACATAATAGGCACCATTTAATTATTCTGATCATATTTTACTTCTTGAGTTACTTAATGTTCATCCTCCCATCCCCACCTCTTCTTCTTCTCTCTCTTCCTCAGACTGTGTGGTAGCTCTGTATCGATTTTAAATGCCAAATTATTGTTTACCTGTGTTTGTCAGTAAAAAAAAATGGGAAAGAATTAACTAAGCCACTCTAATCTGTCCTGAAATCAGCTGCCTGCCTTAACTCCACCCCCTGAGAGATTTGGACAGCTGCTAGAAACGAATCCGACTGACCTTTTTTCTGCATTTTTACCACTAACTAGCTAGTTGACGATGCATTACACATGCAAAGGTGCACACTTAGAGATATGTTAATTCATATAACAGGCCTAGTTTGAATTGGGGCATTTGAAATGAATCCAAACCCACGTGTTAACATTTTCTTGCCATCGCCTCCATGCGCACACACACCCAGCCTGCATAAAGCATATGCATGTATGTATACGCAGACGATGCATACATATATTTCTGTTTCTCTCACCTAGCTGTTTGCTATCTATAACTGTAGGGACTGTTGGGTTTCACAGCAGTGCGAGTGGATCCGTTTTCCTCAGCAGTGTCCTTTCTTTTTATTCCAAGATATATTCGGACCGTGATTAATCTTATTCTGATGATTCTTTGTAAAGCAAAATGTAGTGTGTGTGCGTGTGTGGACCCCAAGGGGTTACAGGGGGAGGATCAAGCCAAACCTGATGCATCTATCTCTATCTATCTATGGATTGATCTGGCTATCTTATCTATGTGGCCCTCCTCCCTCGCTCTTCATGCCTCTCCCCCCTCAACGTTATTTGCTGTGTTTGTTCTTTGGAAAAATAAAACTTAAAAATAATAAAAAATGAAAATGCTATCACAACAAACTATAATAAAACATTCTAAACTCTAAACATGTCATTTGGATTGTTATGTGGAGATGGAAAAAAATATATATATCATTTGAATCTGTTGTCTTTTCTGTTGCCCATGCTGGCGTTCAGTGTATGAATGAATGAATGAATCATAATGGGCCCACTTGCTGTTTTACTGGATCTGATTTATCCATTAAAATGAGAGCGGGGGGGACTTGTGTGCTGTTGGATCCATGCCATTCGACCTTCAGCAGTCATGCAGATTGTATTCCCTGAGGAAGGTCAGCCACCCAGAGCCTGCTTAACTTAATGAATGAAACATTTTTTAACTCATATGTAGTCATGGACGGTGTTCATGCTCTGTGTGTGCATGAGCTTCATATCACTGCCCAACATGAAATGCATTGGAAGGAACATGCAATGTTTTTGGGACATCACTAGATCTAAATGTGTTAGCTGGGAGGCTACTGTGGGTGTAACATCATGCTCGCATGAGAGCTGGAGCCAGTGAACTACAGGGTAATTTGTATTACCTTTCCTTATTAGACAAACTTAACAAGGGGTTAATAAATCCAAACTTATGGCTGGCTTACTTAATGGTTAATAACTTAGAGTTTACCATCCTCCTGTAATACAAATCCTCTCTCTTTTCCTCCGTACCCACATCTCTAACAACGGAGCTGATCCAGATTTGCTGTGGTCATGATGACATTACTAAAATGTGGGCTGGCTTTACACCCCCGGCCCTATCAGAAACAATGCGCGATTGGAAGTAATATGGTCTGTGTTTACATTAGCAAGCATCACTAACACTCAGAGCTGACTGTACTGGAGAGAATAATATGTGTAAAGAAGCAGGAGCTCACTGCTTGCATGTGGATGCTCTAAAGGGGCAGAATACTGAAATCTGTATTTTAGTAATCTTTTATTCCTTCTAATTTGTAATTATTTTCTAAATAACACAGTTATTTACTCGACAATAACACACAATTATCCTTGTTTTTATTTATTTGTTTAATTCTATAATCTCTGGCTTTTTGGCCGTCCGTCAGGAACTGAATTTCAAAATAAAGTAACAGGAAACAGACGTAGGCTTGTATGGGACATTTCGAGCACCATTGCCAAACGCACCCGCAAGGACACCAGGCCTCCTATTGGTTGAGGGATTTTGAGAGGGTTGTTGCACAAAAGATCCGAGCGCGCACAGAAGACATCTGAGAGCAGACATTTCACGAGCGCACAGAAACACCCTGAGTGCGAGGAAAAGGTTTTAAACTGGAACACAGGAAATCTTTAAGCAGCAATATATCTGAGTGCAAGTGTACAGTTTGAGAAGCAGCAGAGCAAATCTAAGTGCAAGCAGGCACTATTTGAGTGTGAGGACAGGGTTTGAGGGAAAGAAATACATATTCTGAACGTGAAATCAATAAAGTATGCTCTCAAATTTAAAGACCACGCTCTTGAATAAAGATAGGGAATAACCCATAGAATAACCCCCATACAGACAGCACTTTGAAATGGAATGAAACCACGGCAGACTATCCAAAACTGGACTCAAACCTACACCTGCAACAGTCAACTGTTCAGGAGTTGGAAAGGTCTGAAGATGTTACAAATAAGGTACACACAGCATACAATGCCATAATAACTTTGTATCATTAGTGTAGGACACTTATTTATGTATAACATCTGAAGATGTGTAGTTTTATTTATGTTTTCACATAATTCTACAGGATATTGCTATACTATTTCACATGTTTTACTTCTACCTCAGTGTTTCTCAATGTCGAGGAAGGCTGCTCCAGAGCGAATATTTCAAGCATACTACGTCATCGAGTGCCGCCGAAGGACTGTTCCAATGTCTAGCATACTTGGAATTTTACCGAGGCCGGCGTACTTCGTAGCGAGAAATTTCGAGGCTGCACATGTGTAGACTCCGCGGTCTTAAAATCCCCACAATGCTTTACGCACGGAACAATTTCCAAATCTTTGGTGGAATTCGTGCAACATTTAAGGCGGGGCCTCGCATATGACGCACACCTGTAACACCCAGGGTGTTTCTCAATGTCGAGGAAGCTTGCTTGGTAGCACATGTCTTCCGAGTCACTTGCTTCAGAAGCGAGGCAAGAATCCTTCCAAGCCTCGGAAAACGAAGAATCGTGGAACAGGCTAACAGGTGTGCGTCATATGCGAGGCCCCGCCTTAAATGGAGCGTGATTTTCTGCCAAAGATTTG